ATAAGCTGGGTTTGACGTGTAGTGGGGGACCCTGCTAACGTCCAGGGGTAAGGTAGTGAGTACTGTTATCAATGAAGTTGCCAACAAAAAGTAGACTTACCTCACTTCTTTAATGCTTCACTTTCCCTTCGCAAGGCTGACAGGTAATGCAGCTATATAGCAACTGACTCATAACTTTCAGGCAATTTGCGGCCTGTTTGTCATTGCTACTCTAGGATCATCAAGCTCAAACTGACCCGTGGCGGAGCAAGCCTGCGGTGTGACTCACCTTAAACACACTGTTATGCGTGAGTAAGAAGAATATTGAACTGAAGGCATTTTCGGCTGTCCATAAATCTTGGCGCCCTTCCTTAGGCAATGCAAGTGATAGCAAGAAAAAGCACTATATCATCATGGTTGTATTTGTCGTTGGTTATTAGTCACCCAATACCCTGGGTATGTTAAAACAACAACATCGAAGAGGGCCAGTGCTGTAACCCTTGCAGTAGTGAAAGTGAATGCAGATTTCTGAAAATATGGCGATCCATAATACCAATTCATCAAGTTATCGATACTCTTCAGTGACGCGTTTATTTTCTGCCATTGCCCAGCTGTTGAAGGCATAATCGATATCCGTTCACTTGACGAATACCTCATTGAGATTCCGTAATAGCACATTACCCCATGTTCTCTGGTCCCCAGTCAATAATTTCTGTTTCATGCCCCTTGCCTTCCATTAGAGCTTCAAGCTTGTCTTCAACTGTGACCCAACCGTGACGCTTCTGTGAGATAGCATACTTGATTGGATCCTTCCACTCTCTCCACCAAGTTTCCTCACTCTGAACAATACACCTTCTGTCAGGCTCCCCGTTCTTCGCTGTAGCAAATGGCCAGACGGCTTTGACCACTTCGTATTTGTGCTTGCCAGAAAACAGGCTGGTCACACTAGTGAAGAACTGATTGACTTTGTCTGGGTTCTGTATCACGACACGGCTATGGGTAACCACGAAGCTGACATCAACTACGCCACGGTAGTTGAGTGCTGCCACGAGGCTTCGGAACTGTCCTTCAAGCCATGCTGTATCGAGATTTGTAACCACTCGTTCAAGCGTAAAGAGTTTGACAGAAGCAGGATCCTGAACGAAACGGCGGCACCATTCATCCAACCCAGCATCGCCGACTTCGGGAAGGACATCGGGTTTGAGACCTCCCCGGTAAGCCAGTTCCCCATCGCCAACACAACGAAGATAGTCTAGACGCTGGTTGTCATCATCCGGGACTAGTAGGCTCATAAGGTTAAGTTTGATGTCAAAGTCGACTTTGCGCCCACGACTCCCTCGAATATGAATCTGGGGCTTAGGAGGTACTGAGGCTTGTGCACGAATGAGAGCGATAAGCGCCTCAGGCTTGGCCGATAAATATTCAGCACGCGATGAGAGAGTCTTATAGTCGTTGGAGAGTTTGAAGAGAGGAGGTGAGTAAAGACGGTAATCAACTCGCGGTAGTCCCGGAAAGCGTGCTGGGCCTTTATGGCCTGCTGTGGCTTGTGAAGCCGGAGCGGAAACAGCGGTTGATGGGATAGAAGGCCCAGAATAAGGTGGTAGCGTTACATGATGCTCTGGAGTCTCACCGGTCAAGACTGCGGCAGGCGACGAGGGCTCAGGCTCAATGGCTGCTGCTGACTTTTCCATGTGTAAGGTAGGTAAGAAGATTGGAGATAATAGAGATTAGTATGCTGTAAATGTAATGTCCTTAAGGTAAGTGGAGATGTATGGAAAGCTTTAATCAACTTTAGAGAGTAATTATGAAAATAACAATATTCTTATATGATATTTGAGAACAAAAAAAAATTACTCCGTATTACTTTGGAAGTCATACACTTATATGGTATGGTTTATACCTGCCTAAATAACGTATCTATCGAGGCGTTGAGCGCCACTTCTCAGCCTTGCCCCACTAAGTAAGGTCGTCAATCAACCTGGCCTGAGTCTCGTTGTGAACACATAGCTCCATCCCTAACTCTGGTTGCTCTCTCAGCGTCCAACATCTGCGTTTCTTCTGCAGGGCAACCCAACTGCCATACTCACCTTATATCTTCAGTTTCTACAACAACTTCTTCACCACCGTCCCACTTACCGCCTGCTATCTAGCCAACCCCGACCATGGATTACGAGACGCTCAAGGAGCAATGGAGCGAGGTCGAGGACCGCGATGGTGTTCGTTTGAGCTGGAATGTGTTTCCCAGCTCCCGTATGGTATGTTTACAGCTTCATAACGCTCGATGTTGAGCTCACATTATACAGGAAGCCTCTAGACTCGTCGTGCCCATCGGCGCTCTCTATACCCCGTTAAAGGAGAAGCCCGATACTCCTCTCCTGCATTTCGAGCCTGTTACGTGCAAACAGCCCTGTCGCTCTGTATTGAACCCATTTTGGTATGATGCGCTTCTAAACGGTTGCTCTGGTTTCTCGTGCTGACCTCGTACTGAAGTCAGGTCGATGTCCGTGCTAGAGTTTGGATCTGCCCTTTTTGTCTATCGAGAAATCAGCTCCCACCGCACTACAAGGACATTACTGCGAACGCTATCCCCCCCGAACTTCATCCTGCGAATACCACAATAGAATATCGCCTCTCCCGACCTGCGCCCGCGCCCCCGATCTTCCTATATGTCGTCGATATGTGCCAGGAGGCTGACAGCCTTGCCTCTTTGAAAGAATCGCTTGTGATGAGTCTGAGTCTGCTTCCCGAGAACGCTCTTGTTGGTCTCATCACTTATGGCACAATGGTATACCATTCATTTTTCCCGTCAAGATGTTATGCCACTAATACCTGGATAGGCCCATGTTCACGAGATCGGCTATGAGGAATGCGCCAAGTCCTATGTTTTCCGAGGCAGCAAGGAGTATGCTGCCAAACAAGTCCAAGAGATGCTCGGTCTGTCATCCTCTGGCGTACGACCCGGCATGCAACCTCAGCCTGGTCGCCCATTCCCTGCTGGCCCGGCATCTCGCTTCCTTCTCCCTGTCCAGCAGGCCGAATTTCAGCTGACCAAGGCTCTCGAATCCCTTCAAAAGGACCCCTGGCCAGTTGCGAATGACAGACGTAACCTTCGATGCACCGGAGTCGCTCTCAGCGTTGCCGTCGGTCTTTTGGAGTCATCTTTCCAGAATGCAGGTGGGCGCATCATGCTGTTTGCTGGAGGCCCTGCTACTGAAGGCCCCGGCATGGTCGTAGGACCTGAGTTGAGAGAGCCTATTCGATCCCACCATGACATTGATCGAGACAACGTTAAGTATTATAAAAAGGCTCTGAAGGTGTGTCATTCAGCACTTCCACTCTTTTGATACCGCTCTGACACTCTCATCATAGTTTTACGAAAACTTGGCCAAACGAACCGCACACAATGGTCACATCATTGACATCTTTGCTGGTTGTCTGGATCAGGTCGGTCTCCTTGAAATGAAGGGCCTATGCAACTCGACTGGCGGTCATATGATCTTGACTGATAGTTTCACTTCTTCTATGTTCAAACAATCTTTTGTGCGAATCTTTGAGAAGGATGGCGATGATAATCTACTGATGGGTTTCAACGCAGTTCTGGAAGTTTTGACCACGAAGGAACTGAAGGTCACAGGTCTCATTGGACACGCAGTCTCTCTCAACAAGAAGTCGATCTCTGTGGGCGAGACTGAATGTGGAATTGGCAACACATGTTCTTGGAAGATGTGCGGTATCGATCCCAAATCAAGCTACGGAATTTACTTCGAGATCGCGGGCCAAGGTCCTGCCACACATCAACAAGCACCACAGAAGGGCATGATGCAGTTCCTGACGTACTATCAGCACTCATCGGGCCAGTTCCACCTCCGCGTCACGACTGTCGCCCGCAACCTTAGTAGCCCTGCCGGGGACCCAGCGATCGCGCAGTCCTTCGACCAAGAAGCCGCTGCTGTCCTTATGTCAAGAATTGCTGTGTTCAAGGCTGAGGTCGACGATGGTCCTGATGTCCTACGCTGGGTCGATAGGATGTTGATTCGTCTCTGCTCCAGATTCGCGGACTACAGGAAAGATGATCCTTCATCCTTCCGACTGGAGAAGAACTTCACATTGTACCCTCAGTTCATGTTCCATCTCAGACGAAGCCAGTTCCTGCAGGTTTTCAACAACTCTCCTGATGAAACAGCCTTCTACCGCCACGTGCTCAATCACGAAGATGTTAGCAATTCACTCGTGATGATCCAGCCAACTCTGGACTCATACACCTTCGACCAGGATGGCGGCCAGCCAGTTCTTTTGGATTCGGCCTCTATCCAACCAACTCATATCCTGCTTCTTGACACTTTCTTCCACATCCTCATCTTTCACGGTGAAACAATTGCTGAATGGAGAAAGGCTGGTTACCAAGATCAAGAAGGTTATGAGAACTTTGCTGGCTTGTTGGAACAACCCAAGGAAGATGCTCGCGTAAGTTCACCCTCAGCCACTCTCGTTCTATTACTTACCCGTCTAGGATCTCATCACCGATCGCTTTCCTCTTCCTCGCTTTATTGTTTGTGATGCTGGTGGTTCTCAGGCTCGATTCCTCCTGTCCAAGCTCAACCCATCTACTACACACACCACTGGTCCATATGGTGGTGTAGGAGCCACGACCGCTCAGACTATTTTCACAGACGACGTGTCTTTGCAGACCTTCATGGACCACTTGATGAAGTAAGTTTAAACACCCCATTCCCGTTTATTGCCCATATCGAATTGAGTTAACAAACTGTCCAGGCTTGCTGTGAGCGGTACTAATTGAGGTGGCCAACAAACGGCTTTGTCGCTGACGTACTGCCATCTCAAGAAGTCAATGAAAAATCAAGTCTTACGATGGGGCGTAGATAGTGACGACACGGTTCTCATAAGCTCACGATGTTAGTTAAGAGGCATTATAATAATCAAAATTCGAGGCCAGCCCTTTGCAGATCTATAATCTTAGCTTGTTGCTCTGCATGATTGTGATGTGATTCACTGGAGAGGATGTTTGAGGTTTGCACGTGATGTTCGCTGACTCATCGGAGAGCTCGCTTTCCTCCGCTCTTTAGGGCAGATCCATGGTGGGGCGCACACCTTTTTGTAGTTTTGATTCTTGGACAACTTCAACTTTTCTTTTCGATCAACCTGCCTGTTCCTTACTTCCGGCACGCAAACCTCGAGCCTCTGCCGATTTTCACGACACAAAAATGCGTTCGTCTTACTCCTGAATGTCAGGCACGATTATCCTGCTTACACGCTGAACAGCTCCCAAGTTCGATCCCAATGAGGTCAAGGTGATGTAGGTTGATTCCATTCGCAGTCCTTAGACACCTTGGAAACTGACATACTACAGCCACCTCCGCGCCACTGGTGGTGAGGTCGGTGCCTCCTCTGCTCTCGCTCCCAAGATCGGTCCTCTGGGTCTCTCCCCCAAGAAGGTCGGAGAAGACATTGCCAAGGCCACTGGCGACTGGGTATGACTGTCAATTCCCTTGTGCATTGGAATATGCTGACAATTGTGTTTAGAAAGGCTTGCGCGTGACTGTCAAGCTCACCATCCAGAACCGTCAGGCCGCCGTGTCGGTTGTGCCCACCGCTTCCTCCTTGATCATCAAGGCTCTTAAGGAGCCTCCTCGTGATCGCAAGAAGGAGAAGAACATTAAGCATAACAAGTCTGTCAGCCTTGACGAGATCATTGAGATCGCCCGCACCATGCGATACAAGTCTTTCGCCAAGGAGCTCTCTGGTACTGTCAAGGAGATTCTCGGAACCGCCTACAGTGTTGGCTGCCAGGTCGACGGCAAGCCTCCCCAGGCTATCATCGAGGCCATCGACAGCGGAGACATCGACAGTAAGTTTTGAACGCCCTGCTCGACATTTCTTGTTCTAACATGTGGTAGTCCCTGAGGAGTAAATTATTTCTCATAACATAGTCACAATTCTACCAGTATGAGAAACCAAAAATATACTCATTGATCGATGGCAGCTCATGACCAATTATTTCCGTCACGTCCCTGTGATATTCTTCGAACTTGTGAACCCTTGACTCACTCTGAAATCTACCATCAGGCCCCGTGGTTTATTTCTATTTTTGTGCAAGGAAGAGAAATTATAGCCCAATACTCACCGCGACATACTAGCAATAACGCTCTTGTGGATGTAGCGGTCCATCATCATGGCGACATGATATAAAAAGGTTCTAGCTGCAGAGTTGCAAATACTTGTAATTCTTCTTTTTTTTTTTTTTTTTTTTTTTTGCTGTTTGAGAAAGTTGTCGTTTTACCTTCGTAAACTGCCCAAGCTCACCCTCCCAGCGCCCCTTCATTGAACAAAAGAAGACTTTGAGAAACATACCATCTCAGCTCCTCGCAATGAGCTATTGCATTGTATCGGGTGCCTATACTTACAGTAACTATTATCATTAATAGCATATCATACATCATATCATTTCCATCATTGAAAGTGACCATTTCCGATAGAGTTTGTCAAGGTTCCAACAATGCATCTTTTGAAGCAGCACGGCTTTTCAGTCTGATCTAGGTACTAGCGAAAGACAATGTCGAGTTCTACGGAATCTTCAGGGTTGGGGAGAAGGACCCAGTCGAGCTGTTATGGATAAGATGCCGAGACTCTGTCCACGTATACCAGCGATGCGGTACGATAGGCGATATCCTCAATAGTCGTAGTGTCGTACCTGAGGACATTCATAGATCACATCACTCGCATCCACAGGCATGGGTGGCATCAAAGGGCCCATTTCGAACGCCTCAAGCTGGCATGTATGGATCCAATGACTATCAGAACATGCTGCAGCAACCTCATGGCGCAGGGTCCCTGTACATACCTTACCTTACCAACATACATGCAGCTCAACAAGGAGCAATATTGGCTTGGTATGTACCTAGTATTTTAATTTCCAAAAACTTGATTTGACCAATATTTCTTTCCCCTCTGCGCCGAGTTATTTATCTGGGCCAGATACTAAATTGACGCAATGTTTATCTGGGGTTCGAGTCGTCGTTGGTTGGGGAAGTGGGCAGTGTAAGCATGAGTGTGGATGGGTGGAAGGGAAATGGTCTGTCCGCGCTTATGGCACAAGCCGGGCTGGAGAGGGGCAGCCCAGGCACCTCATCTTCAAGAGGTGCCTCTGTGACTCCGTCTCTCCCTCCCCAATGTGGGACGCCCTGCCCCCCGCTGTCACAGGTTCTCCACTCACCACGGGCCTTGCTCCATTCAACCTGGCGCTAACTACCTGTCGAGCAACAAACGTGCCCATACTTACCTAACTTACAGTGGGCGTGCAAAAGTTCCGACACATTCCGGATCCACCCCAACTACCTCGATCTCATACTGCCATTTCGGATTGCAATTGCATGGGCAATAATTCTTCAATTTAGATAATATATATATCAATCTGTAGAGACTTAAAAGGAGATTCCAGAAATATAGTTTAATACTTGGTATAATAGCCATTTGCGTTGTAACAGGCGTTCAACCGGTCGGGCATCGATTTTATCACGTTTTTGACCACTTCATCTTCGACCTCCGACCAAAGCTCCTCTGCAGCTTCAATCAGCCGGGCCAAAGCTGCTGCAGACTTTGGATAAGCAGCAATTTCAGGATATCTATCGCATATCCTCTTCTTCAGGACTTTCCATAGATTTTCAATGGGGTTGAGATCAGGGCTGTATGGCGGCCAGTCAGCAAGAAAGACTCCTGTTCTTCTTGCCCAGGGCAGCAGCCAATTCTGAACTTTCCGGCATTTATATGTACGGGCGTTGTCGTGCTGAAAAGTCTCTCCTTCCTCGACCAGTCCGGGAAGATAAGACTGTAAACAGGATAGAATAATCCTTCCTGTTACGCCTCCCCTCTCAGACTCAGGATCGCCGGCAAGAGGGACGATCCTAGACGGCTTATCATAGTGAATTGCACCAAAGAACATCTGAGAATGTCTGGCAGGCCGTCTACAGGGCTGCACCTTATCTTGATGGAGTCTCTCACCCTGTGGTGTTGTCAAAAGAAGCTTCTGAAATAGAAGGGGCTAGACTTACAGCAGAGTAAAATGACCACTTGGTATAGTCACCGTCTGTACGGTCGATAGAGACCTCATCAGAAAACCACCAGCTATACCAAAAAGACTCATCTTCATGACGATATTTTTCACAGAAAGCTTTTCTCAATTGAGCACTTTCTTCGCTGAGAAACGGGCGTCGAAGTGCAAGCTTGTGTTGTATCTTCTGATTGATAAGCCAGCGACGAATTGTGCTTCTTTTGCAGTTCAAACAGGTGCAATCAATTATTTCTTGGTATGAGATAAAAGCGTTTCTTCCAATGAGTATTTTGATATGATTTTTATCTATATCTGATAGTCGTGATGGCCTTCCAGAGCGAGGTAAATCTTTTGCTGATTGTTGGTGACGGTACCGTCGAATGACTCCATAGATCGCGTGCCGACTTAGCCCCTCACTGTCTGCGATATCCTGCACGCGAACACCTGATTCGTACATCGTCACAAACCTCGTTCTTTTGCAAGGAGAATGATGTGTTTTTTGCCGTATTCGAGGCATCTTTTCCTATAGAAATAACGCGATGAAGTTGTGGTGTTGATGTTGATGTTTAATTGAAAGCGGGGTCCGGACCTCGGATGTGTCGGAACTTTTGCACGGGACTGTAGTACCTACCGATACAGCTCTTTTGTCAACTGCTTGACTTGAAGCCTCCTCCAGCATTCACTTGACCGATATTTAGGGATCCGGAGCTGTCATCAGACTCTGATTCCCTGTCACTACCAACAGGAGCTCTTTTGTGAGACGATGAACGCGATAGTGCTTTCCCGTGCAACTTGATATCCGGTCCTCTGCGATCGAATCGATAGACACTGCTTTACAGCGTCGTCTAGAAACGCCTGACTCTGTCTCTTTCTCTCACTCACCAACACAAAGGTTATTCTTCCGGCTTCAAAACAGCGCAAGGCCTTCTCACGACAGCGTGAAGTTTCTGGTTCGCTGGTGTGTCGCTGGCGCTACACTCGCCTTTCTAACACGCCCAGATGCTTGTCAGCAATCAACTCGACACTTCAATACCAAGCACAGCCGCCAGCCATGCCCTTTAACCAACAGGCCATGACCTACAGATTTCCATCAGTGTCTTTTGTCCTGCGTTTTCAGTCAGTTTTGTTTCCTCGCCAATATACCCCGTTGTCATGTTACCTCTTCTTCAAATGTCCCCTCACGCGATGACGCCGCCGCAGTCGGATCTCGATACCTTCACCACGTTCCCAAATAACGATGCCTCCTCTTTCAACGACCATCACGCCCGTAATGTTCCGACGCCATATCAACAGTCATTCGCGATTCGCACCTCTCGACCTCACCGGCACACTATCCCATACGGCTCAGCTCTCTATCCGCCACGCCAAGAGCATCACTTACGACGAAAGACACCAAACGGTACTGTCGATGCCGGATATGACGGCTCGCCGTCGCTGTTCTCGCATGGTCCCCCGCCTTCAAAACATCTCGTTCTTCCTCGGTCAGCGACTGCTACGGCATTTCCTCTGACGGGCCCGTTAATACACCAATCTCATTACAACGTGGGCATCGACTACCGCCGTCCATCCTCGGTCGGCAATACGGGACTCAGCGATGACCTGCAAGCCCGTCCCGGATCTTCCACTTGGGCCTATGGGGGCGATACGGCATTACACCATGGTACTGTTCCCACTAATCATTATGGCCTTCATCAAGCCGAAGGCCAATACATTCCTCAAGGCCAGCCTGAAGCGCCAGGGGTGTTTCCTAATCTTTATCAACCAATAATAAGAGCTCACGAATACAATGTCAGGGCATTTTGCCCACCCCCTATAGTCATGAACGAATCGCTGCCTTTTGGTCAGCCAGGCATGCATACTCCATGGAACTATCATGGCCGACTTGGCCTTGTTTCAGCAAGGCACGTTCAGCAGCAGAACTTTCGCCCTTTCCAGCAGCATGGTGCTTCTGATGTCGCACGTCGGTCTTCCTTTCCTTCAAGTTTTGACTCGGAAACTCAGCATCATCCTGGATTCGATTCGGGCATGCACACACAGTCATATCTTCGGCCACCTCATATGAACAGCCAACAAGGTTTCAGAGAGAAAGTATTGTTACAGGCACACAAGGTCTACGTTGATCTGTTGGCGTACGCACAAACCATCCGGAAACCGCAGACGACCAAAGGAGCAGCAGGCCACAACACGTCCTCCAGGCTTCTTGTTTACCCTAAACCTCCGAAGCCATCCTTAAGAATATCTGAAGCTGCACTTGAACAAGATACCACATTATTCAACAGCTCACGTGAAAACGATTCGTATCAAGACTACCACTCAAGGGGGCATGTGGTGCCTTACTTTCAAGGGCCCTATAACAGTTATTCTTCCACAGGTAATTCGACACTTTTCGCGGCAGCAAAGTCTATTTTAGACATGCTCAGCAGTCTCTGCGAACAGAGTAGCTGGAACTGGATCGATGGGATAATGCTAGGGGGGTGTTTGCACTATGGTCTAGATCAATATCAAGAGGCATTGGAATGGTTCTCGAGAATTACCGCCCTTGACTCGAGGTAAAACTCTTCTCCCAAGTGAACTGTCAAGTGGCTGTTCATTGTTCTGACTCTTTCGCAGTCATGTCGAGGCAATTACGAACAAAGCCGCCACTCTTTACTGTCTCGGTCGCCAAGACGAGGCCGAGAAACACTGGATCAGAGCTGTGGAAGTGCAGCCCAGTTACTTAGAAGCTGTTGAACATCTTGTTGGACTTCTTTACAAGAAGCGCAGCAAAGAGGCCGTCGAGATCATCGACCATGTTCAACGCGCTCTAAGAGTATCTTCGGTATGTAACCCATTAGAAATGGCTGGCAGTAGCCAGCATGCTATTTACTATAGGCCTTGACAGGGTGCATAGCGCCTTTATTGCGGGATTACTGACATGAAACAGGCACAGAATCAGCAAGCTGGACCTCACGACCAACTGGTGAACCCTCCTGGTTTTGCATCAAGTGGCTATGCCATCCTTGGGAAAGAGAATGGGCGTATCCTAGCTCTCATACATGCAAAAGGAACCATGCTATACAGTCTCAAAGATGTGAATAGAGCATCAGAGGCTTTTGAAGAAGCCGTGTTGATCAGCGTAGGTCGTCAAATGACTAGTATACAGGATCTCGTTCGTCGAATCCAGACTGCCTTATCGCCAACAGA